TCCATTCCAAATCCCGCCCACCTCCCCTTCTTTGGAGTAGTCTGGTAAGAAGGAACCGAGGGGTTGGAGGGCCAGCAGGGGTATATATTGGCTGGCATAGCACTCCATGGGTCACCCCTGCTGGCCCAACAGGTACACATGCCTACATGGAATGGACATGAGCAACATATCTCGAAGAACAACATTTACGAGGTAAGTAACTTTTTTTTTGAGCTATTAACATTTGAGGATTTTTTTCTGATTTTTGTCATCTAAAAATAGCTATCTTTTGGGAACTCATTTGGATACCAATGAGTAGCTGCAAAGTCTTGTGCAACTTTGGATCAATGTAAAATAATAGGTTTTGAGGAGGAATCTGGAGAAGGAGGGAATTTCCTTTCATTTTGGCTTATCTAAATGCAAAACTGTAGTCTTTGAAATATCTTAATCTGAAAGTCAACACAGTAGTTACTCATGATACGTGGAATCACTATTTGCTGTTTTGCATATTTGCTGGTCTCCTGCCCCAGCCTAGGAGGAGGTGGTAGTGATGGGGCTGGGAGCCATGGGGAATTCTCTGCAGCTCCAGAGCCTCAGTAAATTCCCCGCGACTCCTGACACCTGCGGTGAGTTCCCTGCAGCCATCTGGAACCACAGGGACTTCACACAGCTGCCAGGAGCTATGGTAAATTCCCTGCCAGGTCTCCATCTTCATAATTTACCTGTGGGCTTTGGACACCTGTCCCCATCAAACCTAGTTGAAAGCCCTCCTCATTAGGTTAGCCAGTCTGTGTCCAATTATTCCCTTTCCTTCCCTTTCATCCAAAATTCTTCTCTAAAGCAATTTTGGAGTTTCACATCATTTGACGTATTCAGTTTACTGCCTTTCCCAAACCTCATGCTTTGAATGAAGAGAGGACATTTTACTCTCTAGATATTACTCAGTGTCTGACGTTCTAGCTGTAAAGGACAAAACTAATCAGAAAATCATAAAAGACTATTTGTCACTATAATGGAATGGTCACAAGAACAAAAATCTGCTAAATCATACTGTAATATCAGTTGGCATCTATTCCTCCTACAGGTAGGGTGAGTTCCTATTCCACTAGGATGCAAGCAGCTTAACAGCCTCTCTTTGAGAGATACCTACACTGAACATCTGCAAAGTGGCTATATATATATCTCTACTCATACCCTTGCAAAGCGTTATGCGTTAGTTTGAGCTCTGTCTGTAGATGAGGTGGATGGAACTGCAATACATCAATCATACATACCAACTGCATCCTTGTACCCACTCCTCCCAGGAAAATACTGCTTGTTATGCATCCATGTGGGAAATACATATACGGACCAGCACCTGAAAGAAGAAAGGAAGGTTATTTACCTGTAATGGGTGGTTCTTCAAGATGTGTGGTTCCTATCTGTATTCCACTACCCAGCCTCCTTCTCTTTGCTTCAGCCCTGATTTTGTGGCAATAGGAGTGACTGGAGAGGTGATGGTCCTCGCTGCCCATTATATTTTTGGTTTGGAGCGTGAGAAGAACAGCCAAGCATATGCAGGCCAATGGACATTACTTACTATAAATCTCAGAATTCAGGCACATGGTAAGCTTGTGTACATCATGTGAGGAATATAGAGGGGGAACACACATCTCAAAGAACCTCCTGTTGCAGGTAAATAACCTCCCTTTCTTTTTCTGCCTGGAGATTATATTACAAGTTGTACTTATTTTTCATATGCAAGCTAAATAAACCTAAATTGCATTATGTTTGCAGGAATACTGATGGCTTCTGATGGTTTAATAAAATGGGTATTATGAGCAGCTTGAGATGTATTAATTTTGGCCTGTATTTTCCTGGCAGTCAGCCTTGCCCTTATCGCAACAACCATAAATTATAACTACTGCTGGGTGCATGCTTATGAAAGATAATACAGTGATTTCTAGGACTATACTCCATGTATATCTTGTAACACAAATAAAATATGTTTATAAAAATTATTCAGAAATGTTTTGGCAAGGTTTTTTTGTTAAAACAGAAACCTTGAGGTTATTTTCTTTTAAATGGCCAACATACTCTGTTTGATTCTATTAGACATACATTTGGGCTACGTCTACACTGGCCCCTTTTCCGGAAGGGGCATGTAAATTTCACTAGTCGTCGTAGGGAAATCCGCGGGGGATTTAAATATCCCCCGCAGCATTTAAATAAAAATGTCCGCCGCTTTTTTCCGGCTTTTAAAAAAGCCGGAAAAGAGCGTCTACACTGGCCCCGATCCTCCGGAAAAAGTGCCCTTTTCCGGAGGGTCTTATTCCTACTTCAAAGTAGGGCACTTTTTCCGGAGGATCGGGGCCAGTGTAGACGCTCTTTTCCGGCTTTTTTAAAAGCCGGAAAAAAGTGGCGGACATTTTTATTTAAATGCCGCGGGGGATATTTAAATCCCCCGCGGATTTCCCTACGATGACTAGTGAAATTTACATGCCCCTTCCGGAAAAGGGGCCAGTGTAGACGTAGCCTCAGAGTTTAGATTTAATTAAACAAATTGTCTTTAAGAAGACAGTGTACAATGTTTGTGTTTCAGATTTTGGTTTTATTTCATTTATAATTTGGCGAAATCCATAATATTAAAATATATTCATAATTTCACAAAGATGTAGGGTCACTAGTAATGTCAACTTTCTTTCATGGTCAGCTGTGAAAACTCAAAACTTCTTTTGAATTTGTGGGTAGGGATATTAGGTTTGATATAACGTGTTAAAGTCAAATGTATTTTGGTGAAGACTGCTAATTTTTCTAGGATGTGAAAAACAGTGGATCTTCCACTGTAGTTAATGAGATTATTTCCACTGACTTTCAAAGTATTAACTTGTTTTGGATTTAATTAAGTAGGCAAATCCATTATTCTTATTTTGTTCATATTCCAATGATATTTTAAAACAACAACAAAAATGTGTAGTATAAGCATTTCAACTATACCAACAGCACTATTATAATAAAGGTATGTTCCTTCTTAAACCTGTGTTTTTAAGATTTTATAATTTAACTATAAAGACATGCACTTCCCAAATACTTGTCATAAAAGGTATCTGGCTTCGAGAAAATAATTATCCCTTTACCAACATGAAACAAATTTGTTTCAGATTTTTATTAAATAATGAGAACAAATGAGATTTTTATTAAATCATGAGAACAAGTAAATTAATGTGAAAAGTTTGTGGTTTCAGATGGCTTTTGAACTGCTCCTGTACTCTCACTATGCTTTGTTTTCAAACTTGCACTTCTCAAACCACTGATCCATTTTTCACACTACTCCCTGGGTATTTGAGGGTCTGTCTAATTAAGGCCTGATCCAAATTACAGTTAAACGAGTAGTGAAATACCTCTAGACTTCAGTGAGAGCAGGATAGAAACATACATTTTATTATGCAAATAGCAATAATGGCATTTCATTAGTAGGAGTTCACTATATTTGAAAAAACTGTGCATTTAGAGGTTGGCCAATTGAACATATTACTTTAATATTTAGAGAGAGATATCTTGATACATTGGTGAATTAAAGATATTGTCTTAATTGTGCTTATGAATTTTTAGATCTTTAATGTTTTCTTAATAACATTTTACTTGAACTTAAGCTACAGTCTTGGAGAAGGATGAGTTTTGTGTCAGTTATTTTTTTTTATTAAAGCTAACTTAATTCCCTATATTTTCTGTATATGTTAGGATTAGCTTTTTCTCACTGATAATTTCCTCATATGCATATGGCAGTGATTTCTTAAATAACATGTTAGAAACTTGTTGACCAGCTAGATTTGCATTAGTCAAATTTCAATTTTCACAGAATTATGTTAGTGTACTAAATATTTTACATAATTAAGAAGCACATTTTTTGTCGCCCACTTTTCTAGAAATGGTAGAATACAAGTGATTTTTGACTGCCAGACCTAACATCTGTCCTGACCCTTATTAAGATATAAACCTGATTTTTCAAACTTCATTTTAGCTTATGGTTTCATTATATATTTCTTGTTAGAAGGGCTGTTGAGTGACATCATCAGAGTGCATCAGGGTGCAGTGAGGAGGAATCTTCAAAAGTATATCCATGATCCATTCCGTCCAGTGCAATTTGCTACAAAGCATACGCTATACTTGCTCAATAACAGGACTTGTTTCTTCCAGGATGGCTACAATAAATTAGTTACAGTCAATAAAAATTGAACCACAAGGAGTTCATATTCCTTAACTACCTGACCATATGAGCTTATTGCTATAATCATCACACCATTTCCTTCCTGCTAGATGTTGTTCCCCCCTTTTTATGTCATAGGTGAAATTACATTTTTGTAAGCTCTTTGAGGTTGTGACCTCACTTTTCTGTTTGTCCTTTTAACGCATTGAGCACACTTCTAAAAAATCGGGAAATGGAGCATTTGAATATCATTGGTTGTAAATAAGTCTCTGTAACTTTGGATCAGCAAAGTTTTGGCATGTGTTTGAGCTCTGTTAAATTCACCTTCTGTGTGACCTAGGACAATACATTTTACCTCTGTGTACTTCAGTTTCCCCAGTTGGTAAAATGGAGATGATGATACCGCCCTTTGTAAAGTGGTTTGAGGTCTTCTGCTGAAAAGTGCCCTATACGAATGAGCTAGCAATTATTTATTATTAAACAGGACTTCAGCATGTGCTTAAAGCTAAACAGGTGTTTAAGTACTTTGCATATGAGGACCTATTTGCTGTACTTTCAGTAAGACTGGAAACTTGACATTATTAAAAATAGAACATTATAACAGATTTTTACAGTTGTCACAGTTCTCCAATGAAGGAAGGTAAGTATGTCAATATATATATAAGCTGTCTGTCTTGGTTGTAGCACTCTATCTGATGGAAAATAGAGATAAAAATGAGTGGAAGGCATTAAAATGCCAAACATTAGCCTCCTCCTCCCCCAAAGTGATATGATTGATTCCTTTCTTAAAGCTTAATTTACTGCAGGCTCGCTAACTTTTTATTTTTAAAAACAGGTAACAACGGAACGACCTTTTATACAGAAGTTATTTCGTCCAGTTGCTGCAAATGGACAACTAAATACACTGGGAGACCTCCTAAAAGAAGTTTGTCCTTCTGCAGTTACTCCAGAAGGTACTTTATAAACAGCATGATGCAGTATTTTGTACTGTTCTTTATTTATGTAGATCAGTGGTCATCATTCAGTAGATCTCGGAGGCAGTGTTCCCAGCCCCTCCTCAGTTCCCTCAATATTCAGCAAGGAGCATGCACTGGTGCTACAGCTTCCTGCTCCTTACAAAATTGGAGCCAAAGCCGGCTTCTTGTGGGGGAGGGAGGAGGCCAGTCCCAAAGCTCTGTGCCAGAACCAGCTTTTTAGGAAGCATGTGCTCATTGCTCCTCCCTCCCCACAGCAGCACACTGCTTTCTTATCTTCCCTTCCTTCCCCCATGCTCCGGTGAGGCAGGATGGGTTAAGATGATAGCAGAGGATTGTATGAGGGGTGGTTTGATTTCTTAAAGAAGTCGCACATGTGCTTCTTCCAATACTGCCTGTAGATCCTGCCTGAGAGATACTCATCCCTGGAGACCCCCAGGTACTGACTGAACTACTCCTGCCCCCTCTCCTCTGGCTAGAGACCCACCAGCACCCTAATTTTTCTGTGGATCACTGGCCCTTGGCCCAAAAAAGGCTCCTTGCCCCGCCCATAAATAAAGATAATGTTGAAACCTTTTGTGTTGGGCATATTTTATTTAAAAGTGAAGCCTGGCCAACAAGTCCCCATTGGGGCCAAGCCTTCATCTGGTTGCAGCATCATAACATTCCTGTACCTCCCCCACACTCCCCAATCTTGAGTCCATCATACACCTGAACCCCCTGCCCTGAGTCTCTCTCAGCCTCAAACTCCTGCACCCTTCCACATCCCCAGATTTCTGCCACAACACTCCTGCACCACCCACACACCACTGTGCCTTGGGCCCCTCATACATGCCAACCCAAACTCCTGCATCCCCACATCAACAAGACTGTGGCTTGCTCCAGCACCCCAACCCTCCACCTGACTCCAATACTCTCCAGCCTGGAGCCCCATCTCAAGCCAGCATCCCCTTCTCCACTTCTTTCTGCACCCAAATTCCCTCCCAGAGCTTGTACTTCTCATCCCTTCCCACACCCAAATCCTTCATTCCCGCCCCAGATCCCGCACCTCTTGTCTCAACCCAGTGAGAGTGAGTAAGGGCTGGGGACAGGAAATGATGGAGAGGAAGGAAATGGAGAAGATGGGGCCTCAAGGAAGGGGTGGGGTCTCAGGGAAGGAATGGGATAGACCTTGGCTTGCCCTGACATTTAAGATGTGATCTTGAGTGTTGAAAGGTTGGAGGCCACTGATGTAGATTTTTTTAGTGCTATGCCTGAAGTAGTAGAAGTGTGAGCTGTGATACTGAAGGTTCCAGATTTGTATTTGCTGCTGATGCATTATGGTAGTAGAGATGGGAAGGAGTTACTTCTGCACCAATTCTTCTCCAAAAAATTTAAAATTCTGCCACAATATTTTAAAATTCTGCATGCTTTATTTGTCAGAATAATGCAGTATTGTCACATGGGTTTAAATTATGTAGGTAATGTATTTGCACTACAGGTTAAACCTCCCAAACCTGGGACTTTCTGGTCTGGCAACAACCGTGGTCCGGCTAGTAAGCTGAGCCAGGCAACATTCGTAGTCTGCCAGTGGCTCAGCCAGGCAGTGGCTGGGAACCCTTGTCCTGGCTGGGGAACCCCCACTGTCAGCGCAGTCAGATGGAGAATGGGAAGCCCCTGACCTGGTCAGGAAACCCCCAGGGTTACCCAACTTGAAGCCCCCATCCATGGAACCTCAGGGAACCCCCAGTGGGAGCAGGACTTGCCCTGGAAGTGGGACTGGTGGCAGTGGCCATGTGGCCCTGGCCAGGGAACCCTGAGAAACGTGCAGCAGCAGACCAAAGTGGCTGGGTGCCTCAGCCAGGTAATTCCCCGACACGCATAAGGGGGGCTAGGTGAACCCTCGGTGACTGCAGTGCCAGGAGGTGGCAGGAGAGCGTTGGACAGAGAGCCCCGGGGAGCCCGAAGTAGCAGCAGGACCAGCAGTGTCTGAGTGGGGCTGGCATCAGCCGGGGCCCTGGCAGGGGAACTCTGGCAGCAGTGAGTGGGGATGCAAGGTGGGAGCCCCAGACTTGGGACCCTCAGGGAGAGGAGCCAGGGAGTGGGGCATCCAGCAGTGGAGCATTGATCTGCCTTGGTCCAGCAAACTCCCTGGTTCAGGACTGCTCAGGTCCTGAGGGTGCCACACCAGCAAGGTCCAACCTCTACAATACAATGGCTAAAGAATCGAAGTGGGGAGCATTGGAGGAAATCCCCCAAATCCCGTGGTTTGCAGTAATGTAACTAGGTTTGACTCTCTTTATTTCTAGTTAGTAATCAGCAAGTATATGCAACCAGATGCTCAGTGTTATATTATAGGCAACAAAAGAGCAAGCGAGGGCTGGGGGAATCAGACTCACAATTTATGCTAGCTACTGATCATCTCTACAAAGGTCAGTAGCAAACATTTCATGGAACACATTTTGGTAAGAAATTCTTCCAGTCCAATAATTTACACCAGTTTTAATCATGAAAGTGTACCGTAAGTATGTATAAGCCATACTGTCCTTTACAACACTCTGGCAGTGAAAAAAGAGCCATAAAACTTTTACAACTTGTCTTATATTCCTTTGGGAATTCATGAAGACAGTGGGAAAAATTCACAAAGCAGGTAGGCTGCTACATTCTGCTCTGCCTAAGGGGACTGAGTCTGCCACCCTCCTACCTTCTCAGAAACACTCCAAAGCTTTACACCTCTACGGAGAGAGTGGCAAAATAGTAATTAAGAGGGACAAAATGTCCCTTTCTCTCACAGAAATACCCATGCACCTTTATACCTCTGCACTATTTTACATCTCTACCAACTGTGCTGGGTACGTGAACCAACCTGTCTGTTCTGTTGGGAAGAGAATCTCTTGTGGCTTCCCTTTGCCTGAATTAGAAGTAATTTTTCTGTGGGGAAGAAACTAAATCTTCAGAGGACATGAATTTTGCATATGCACAGTGATGCAGAATTCCCCCAGGAGAACAGTGTTGTGAAGAGCTAAAGTGCACAATACAACTTATTTTAGACAAATATTTTCAGAATTTCCAAGGTAAATTAGGAGATTAAGTTCTGTTTTTCAGAAGCAATTTTAGGAGCCTAAGACTTTAGTTATTTGGGTACTTTTAAAAGTTAACTTTTTGCCATATTCATTCTTAAAAAAAAAAAAAAGAAACATTTCATTCAAAATATTCTGTCTAAAGAATATTATTTTGGGTGCAGAATCAAGTAACTGAGATTTAGGAAATGCCAAGTTTACAATTACACGTGCAAAATTAATTCTGCTTCTGTCATATGTTTATGGGCACTACATGATCATGTAATTAAAAACATTTTTTTCTGCAGGGCTGTGGTCTCATTCAGTGTCCAAAAATGGACACTCAAGACTGAATTAAGGTTGCTGGAACAACCTAAACAACCTGGTATTTCATAACTTTTGAGTGTTTGATCTTTCAGTCTAAATTTAGTTTTAACTGTTTTGTATGCAATAATATGCATATTACATTAAAAGCTATTTCCTAAATTTGATTTAATTGGTGAATATCTCTTCACAAATGTTAAAAGGAAGATTCAGAAGAGAATCTCAGTTATACAGGTTTCTTATGTGATCAAGTGCCTCCCATAGGTTTCTATAGTATTTCTTATTCCCAAAACCAGAATGAATTATTCTACAATGAACATTTCCTTTACTTACTAATTTATTGTTTTTGATTTTTCTTTGAATGCTTGTCCCATTGTTGGTGTGCACTCGAGACAGACACATTTAGTCAACAGTGTCCATTGAGGATTGCTGCCACTGGGATACTTTATTCAGTGCAACTTTTGGTACCACTCCAGTATCTACTTCATCTTTGGCACTAGGAAGAACTCATTCACTCCAGACCAAAACTCCACCTCAGAATGAGGAATATTGGTTCTTCTCATCTGGACCAGAGGATAGTAAAGAACCTTTGTCTATCAGATCCTTTTGATCAAGATACTTAGGCCCTTCTACACCAGGCAGGCTGTCTAGGTCTGTTTTTTTCATAGACAAAAGAGCTCTTGTAGCAAGAGACTCTTGATACTTTCCTCAGCTACTAGTCCCATAGGCATACCAATCAATACCCATGGTACTATTTGGGCCTTTTGAGGAACTCCCCAGCATAGGGGAATGAGATCAGCGGCCCACTTGAGACCCAAATCAGTCTCCTAAACTACTAGGAAAGAAAGATGTACCTCTACCACTGTGGGTCCAACCTAAGATAAACATCTCACTGTCAGATGAGGAGTATTCAGTAGAGGATCCTATCCTTGCTCATATCTTTCTCTTTTCTTGGTGAGGTAGTTGCAGAACCTAATGAGAAGAGTTGTCTTTATTACCTGGATATTCTCCACACTTTTTTGTTCTGAGTTTTCTTGCCCTTCCCATAACTGAACACTTATTAAACTGAGCTATTTTAGGGTGGCAAAGTCCTGCTTAATTGATCCCTCAACAAAAAGAGTGGATCGCCATAATCAGGTTCTATTAAATAAGTTTGCATCTATCTGCCTCTGGTTCTCAAGTAATAGCAGCAGTCATTGAAACAACTCAAAAATGGTAGCAGAATCCAATGCTAAAAAAAACAAAAAACTTAGATCTCTGGCAGGAAAAAAATCTGTTCTACCTTCAATCTGAAAATGAGGCTGTAAAGTTATACTGATAAATTATGACTGCTCTTAGGATTCTGTCAAAATATGCTGTGAAATTCCAGACCTCTGAGGGAAGGATTAAAATCAGTTATCCCCAGGAGTCAGCCGGTAGCAAGAACATTACTGCGGGTTGCCCTTGATGCAATAGACACAGTCCTCAGGTCTGTAGCTACATCTGTAGCAATGCACAGATTGTCCCGGCTCCACTTCTCTGGAATACCTAAGGAAATGCAAATAACTATTCTGGGCCTTCCTTTCGAGATTTGTAATCTGTTTATTGAAAACACTAAGATGAGGCCTTGCCCGTTCA